GAGTGAAGGTTTATGCATGCCAGTGTTTTGATCAAATTCCTTCTCTGGGACTTACATTTTGCTGAACAACGTCTCTTCATTTCTCCTACTGCCTCCTGGAACATTTTGTGTGTAATCTGTACTGAAATTCTTACTTCCATGGTATAGGATCTTCAGAGGTACATTGTGGCTTCCGAGCCATAGCATGATGTGGATGTTCAGTGCACTGAGACTTTTTTACAGGGGTGTCCAGGCCACCTAACCTCTCTTGGAGGTATTTGAGAGCTGTAGGCTACGATGCTGTCCTGTCAAATACCTGTCTGAAGAGCAATGGTGACACTACTGTTGTCACTAGGCTCAGGGTTATTACATGCCTGACTTTTCCTTTTCTCTCCGCGATTATATTGTGATGTTTTATAGTCTGATTCAGCCAAAATCCATTATTTTAACAGCTATTGTTGACTGATTATGTAGTGAATTTTGGTTTTACWGTACATGAAAACACTTTGAGTTCTGTAGTCTTAGAAAGTCATACGTCTTACACATGTACTAAAAACTTCCTTTCTTGTAACAATTCTGAAACAAAAGTGATCCCATTTCTGGTTGAATTCTGTTCAAGGCTTGAACAGAAATCTTTAAGAGCTGCCATCTCTGAAAAACAACAGTAGTTTATACTGGTTGTTTACTCACTGTAAAGGTTATATTTTATGTAAAAAAATTAAGTTGAGCATCAACAGAGCCTGGCCCCAACCTGCCCAGATAAAAGGCTCGGTTGTAATTTCCATTGCTGCGAGAGTCACGTTTTGTTCAAATTGCTCTCTCCTTGGAGCATTCGCAGTGGGCTTTGCTGAAGGTCCTGGTTTTAATTGCACTGAGCTTTCAGAGTAAACCTTGCGAGCTGGGAATGCACAAGTGAACATATAGCCGAGGGTTGAGGAATGACAGCCCCCCTCGTCTGCATGTTTTTGAGGGGGAGCTTTCGTTGTTCTTTCCGCCTCTGGACCGATCTGTTTATACAATGAAAACGGAGGTCAGGGAATAATTGGGTGCTGGGGGTGGAAGTCTTTAAACATGTTTAGGACTGAACAAGCACCAGGAAATAACAAATGACGGAATTAGCAGAAAAGAGCAGACGGTTGGCATGTGCGAGGCTGAAATATAGGGAGMCTGAGTTTGTTTCCTTTCTTTGGCGCAGTTTCCCCCTGTGAGCTTGGACAAATCACTTCAATACTTAAAACACTTTCAAAACTCTGTCCACAAGCCAATTCCCCATCTGTAAAACTTGAGGGCTATAGAATTCAAATGTTTTGGTGAGGGGAAAAATATATGTACTTAGCCTGAAACACTCAGCAGTGTAGTGAAGTTCCTGAGAAAGAGCGATATTCCACTGCAAAATAACCTCTTGTGGCAAGTAGCTGCATTCCCAGGACTGGAGTGTTTAAARCTAGACAGGTCCAAATAGCAGAAAGCGTACGTCAAATGAGCTCGTTGAGCAAAGAGGGGAGGTGTCAGCAGCCCTTTCCATTTCTTAGCTCTATAATTGAGAATTTTGCTGCTTCTAGGAACAGGAACTTTTTATGTTCATCAACCTTCTGTTTTTATGTTCATCAACCTTCTGTTTCCACACAAGAGAGTGCTTTTGTGGAAATCCCAGCAGAAGGAGCCTCTGTCGTGTGCAAATAAGTATACTGTCAGCAGCAACAGCATACGCCTCTTCATGTTGTCCTGGCAGTTGCTTGCACCCCAATCTGATGATGGGTCTGCACTGCCAGTGAGCCCACTCTTGGGCTTTGATTTTCGTTCATCCCTATTTCTCTTGCRGGGAAGCTGGCAGCAGTGATGGTGAGTTTCTGTTGAGGATTGATGCCATTAATTCATTGCAAACAGGTAGAACAAGTCTTGGGTTGGGAACCCATGTAAGTTACTGCCAGTGTGGGCAGTGGTTCAGTCTGATGAGCAGCTTCCCAGCAGGAGGAGTGGGAGCAGCCCCCCGGCTGCTCTCACAGCAGGCACTGGGAGATAATCCAAAGAATATTTAAGGAACGTCTGAGGAATGAACACACTAGTCCAAGAGCTTCCTTGCAGTTTTACAATCTAGGACKGCATTGGGCAGATGCCTCAGCATGGGCGCAATGACTCCACCATGAGTCCATCCTCATGTGGGGTCAATGTGGTACCTGTGTTAGACCCTTCCTAGGGTRACCTAGACATGGCTTGCAGTCTGGAAGGTTGTGATTCATCATCTGTGCAGCTCAGCAGACCAGTCACCTGAGAACTTCATCACAGGGATAACCATTGAAGTTTCAAAGCTTCTTCYTGTCCCCTAAGAATCTGAAGGTACCCAGAGGTCTCCAAAGCAACTCACTTCTTCTCTTCCTAAAATTCCTGAATTTCTCAGGTGCATTTTAAGGCTCAGGGCTCCTGCCTATCAGACATGTTAGCATTTTGATTGAAGACCCTATTTCTTCCCCTCCTGTCCAGATATATTGCTTGTTCTGCTGGCTGAGTTGCTTTAACCTCCCTGCTTGATTGAATGGAGCAGGCTAAGTGCCAACCRTTCCCTGCCAGGATTTCTTTGCTTAATGCTGAGATAACTCTAAAATCCTAGGTACTTTTTTTTTTCTGCTGGGTTTAGCCGTAAATAACTTTTCTTGACACCTTGCTTCAGTTCATGCCATGCTTTGTGCAAGATGCACTTCTCTGTGGGGAATTTAAGGAGGATATTTGAGGGTATTTCAAAGTAACCAAATGTTTAATCTTTCTTGTGGAGTTGGCTGCCACACAGAAGCTAACTGGAAACTGTGTGGTGTTTTGCACTTGAAAAATCCTTTCCATTTTAGTGTCTTCTAAATCAAACTGTATAATCTATGTGTTAGTTCAGCATCTTATAAACTAGAGAAAGGACAGACTTACTGCATTTAGTCACTCCAGTTACCCTTTTGCCAAGATAAGTCTTTTTCCTGCAATATGTCCCCAAGATATTTATGAAGTCTGTAGAGAAAAATAGTCCCTTAAAAACTAAAAAGCCTAAGATTCAAGTGCTGTAGGCATCCTGTGTCGCACTGAGGAAGTTGCTTCCAGGATTTTAAAGGGATTTAGTTACAAAAATGAGGACAGTCACCTCTCAGAATTTTTAAGATATTACATATTTGCATACTTTTGGGTCACTCTCTGAAGCTGTGTGCATTTTAAAGCAGTTTGGATGAAGAGAGTGTGAGGGCAGATGGATGTGTGTCTTTGGGATGCCTTTTAGGTTCCCAACCTGAGATGTAGCAAAGGGGGCTTTATTTTTTGTGGATTCTGAGCCTTTTGTCCTCTGAATATTGACTCCCTTTAAGATACCTCAAGTCCAGCATCCAAACCAGCAATTTACTCACAGCCTGGTTTATGGGATGATCCATTTGCTACCCACCTTCTCTCTGTGGTATTTCTCCAGTGCAGGTATCCCTCTTGCTTGTTTATTTTCTAGCAGGGGCTGTATTTCTTTTACTGCCTTCCCATTGAGGAATAGTTGCCAATCCAGGTTCCACTAGAATCTGCCAAGCCAGCTCTTTGATATTCAGGAGTCGAAGGGTTTCTGTGCCTGTTTCCTGACCTAGCATGACTCTACTAACAGCACGAGAACGTCAGTGCTGCTCTCTTGGCAACCTCCTACAGAAGGTCAGTCCGTAAATATAGCTGCAGTTCGTGTTGTCTTAGCAAAGACAGTCAGTCAAACACAGTATAAACAAGGTGGTTGGATCTCTTCCCCTACCAGCACTTTCCGTAGCTGTGCGGGGAGATTTAACGGGTGTGATTAAATCTCATGCTCCAGCTTGACAGCTGAGTAGCTGCAGGGGGGCAGGAAGGAATTTCCTCTGTGTTCCAGGGCTACGCACTCTCCAAGTCCTCCTTTAGGCTCATGCCAAGGATCTCATAGAGCTCCACATCTTTAACTGTGCTTCAGCACAYCCCTGTGAAGGGTGGACATGAGGGAGAGGCTGCTCTGCAAGGTAGTGGTGGGGAAACTGAGGTACAAGGATGTGGAAGATGCAGTTGCCCTGAGACCCGAGGGAAAAAGAGAGCTGACCAGTCCAGCAATGCCCTGTCAGCTCCTTTGGATGTCTTGTGAATGCGTGCCTAGTTTTCAGCCAGCTGTAACTTTAACACAATAAATATAATATTTAATATCCTTAATATACTTTTAAGTATTATATATTAGTGTACAGTCACCGGAGGAACAAACAGCTTGCTCCTGTGGAAATTTTAATGTCTTCATTTTGTCTTTCGTTGCTCTATTCCTCTAGTATCGAAGCAGAATAGCAGGTATATGTGGTTTCTCTCTTTGCATGGAAAAAAAACTTGGCTCTGAAAGAGCCTCAGGTGTTGGCCACCGCAGAAGCTGTGGTCTGGTTCAGGAGAACTGGTTCAGCTCAGTAAATGACATAGTACTTTGTCGCTACAGGGCAAATTGGTGATTTTTTAATATGTGAATTCACCTTCAGTGGGTGTATATTGAGGTAGCTGCAGTGACTGTGATTAYATTACTAAGATGTACAGATGAAGAGTTGCCATTGCAACATGAACCAGGGGAAACAGTCTTCCTAAGGCATGCTTTGGTCCAAAGCAGAGACTCCAATGGAGCTTCCTGCCCAGACCTCCACCATGTYAGGAGCAGAGTTGTCAAGCTGAAGCATTCTGAAACTGAGGTCAGAGGCCAAAGACTGGCTTGCTCAGCATTTCAGTGCCTCAACTGGGTGTCTAAAATAAGCTGTCTGAATCTGACCTGTAGTCTAGTCTGAAAGCTTAATTATAAATAAACAATGTCTTAATCATTTTATAGTTTCTAGTGTTGTCTCACTGCATCTCTCTGTGCTGGCGTTTGCAGAGCATTCATCATAGTGGTAAGTGAGTGTCTGTTTGGTCTGCAAATGACATAATTAAGTAGCAGYGGAGCCCATAGTATAATGTGATAATTCTCATTCTGACCAGCTGAAATAACTCACTCTAACAACTGTGTTCTCTCCACTCCTTTCTTTCAGTTCCCAAGAAGCTTCTGCATGAAAGCCAGCCAAGACCAACCAATTACCAAGGATTTCAGAAGCCACATTTCCCACTGCGGCCGAGGGCATTTGATCCCAACGTTATAGGGGACGGCGTGTTCCTCTCTGATGTCTCTCCTTCCAACCTAGGGCGTGCTCTCCCAGGTAGCTATGATTATTGTGGTTGGCCCAAACCTAAGTGTCATGTGGTAACCCTTCTCCTCTGTCTTCCCTTACTGGCATCCTTATTGTGTTTTTGCGTTGTTCCCAAACCCCATCCATTTTGCAGTCAGAAGCAGAGGTTTCAAGGCATGACCACCAATTGACTAAAGCGAATGGTGAGACTTGGGCTAGGCTTTGTGAGATAGCAGTCACAGCCATGCGTGTCAAAACTCATCACAGAAGTATTTTTCAGGCCCATCTAATTCAGTGGCAAACAAAAACGGGGGCAGAGAGAGCAGATCAGTATCATAGGGGACAGAGAAATTTCCAACTGAGCTTTGAAATGTGTTGCTATTTCCATAAAATGCAAAGTCAAGGGAATGACTGGAGAATGGATGGAGATGAATCTTGGCTCTCTAGGGATCGGTGAGTAGGAGGAAGGTGGTGTATGATAATGAAAAGCACAGGTAAGCATGTATTGGGCAGGCTGGGTGTTTTTGCACCGCTTTCCCAACACACAAGAAAAGAGTATATGATATTAATCCTCAAATTTCTGTCCTATGTTCTCAGAAATTCGACTAATGGGGAGGGATGAGCAGAGCTACTAAGACTCTGTCTACACTCTTGGCAAAGTTAACCTACAGCCTGAATAATCAATCCACAAATAATTGAGAGCAGTAACAGAATTGTCCTCTTGAAGGCTTCACTGAAAAATTGTGAGGAAAAAGAAATATGGGTAAACCTGAAATAAATTTTGTGATCCTAGTGATTCCTTTAAGCAAGATAAAGCTACTGGACTCATTTTCATTACGATTTGTCTAAACATTTCACTTCTACAAATGACACCTTCTGTTTAGTTTTCACATTGTTTATCCATTCATTTTTAAAATATGCACCAATTTTCAAACAAAGATGTCATTTTGAAATTAAAAGCTAAAAAAATGTTCGAAAATAGCAGAAGGAAATATTTGGACATTTCTGAAACCTCCCTTGCCCTTTTTACTTCTTTTTATTTTTTTAATTACCTGCTAGAGTCTGTCTGTTGCATAATACTTTCTTTTAAGCTACTACTACATAAATAGAAAAATGTACTTTTAAGTGAAACCATTTTGCTCAGCTTTGGTGAAAAGTCACACAGAAAGGGTGGAGGTGGTAAAAAAATACCACCTCCAGCCTACCACCAATAAGGAAAATCAATAGTACATGAGCTGATTGAGCAACTATAATGTCTTCAGAGCTAGCAAGGGGAAAAAGAGATGTCTTTTTGTATGGTTGTGGAATAAATGGCAAACCAGGGAACTATATGGCATAGCCACACATGCTCCCTGTGATTTTATGTTTGTTTGTTTTTTTCCCTCCTGCGTAGCTCCTGTCATTTTCTGCCTTCCCTGTCTGTGCTTGTACAATCCTACAGATTACAAAACCAGTTCTGTGGTTTTGTGGTGCTCTTTGCTGGATTATGGTGTATGCAGGGGAGTATTCATTTAGAAGCTTGTTTGATCACATCTGGCCTTTGGAGGAGTCAGAGGCGAAAAAAAAGAAAAAGAAAGAAAAAGAAAGAAAAAGAAAAAAAAGAGACATCTTCTTACATTGTGCATAAGAGAAGTTATGCCTTGCTCTCTCTGCTGAAAAACACCATTATTGCACAGCCTGGTTTGCACTGGATGGCCAAATCCCAGCAGAAGTGGCCTCCCTCTGAGTCTTCCTGGCCGATCCAGCACGTGCATTTAGATGTCACACTACAGCCTAAGGACTCAGGCTAGTGCCTCCTGATGGTCCCATACTGTGCCCCGTGGGTGTAACAGCCAGCTCTGAGCTGGTTAGAGGCTCATTATAGCACTTTAGGACTGTCATTTGCAGGACTGTCAGTACACAGTGAGCCCCTAGCCTTCATTTCTACCAGTGGTCAACTAAGCAAACCCTGAAACCACCTGCAGCCTGGACCCCCSCTGATGCTGTCCCTGCCTATGTCTGTCTTCCAGAATGTGTCTATCAATCTCCTTTCTCCAAAATGCATACATAGAGATAGGAAAGTGGATCTGGGACAAACCAATGGCAGCCCTAAAATAACTTTGCAAAGGAGTTTGGACTATATCTCGATGTCATCACACAGAAGGGAGCAGCATAATTAGTCACATGGTTCAGATTGTACCAGAATTTTTAGGTTCAGTGTAGATGTTCCCTAAGTTAAGGAAATCACTTTGTTTTTATCAAACTGTCCTGTGCAAGTGTTCAGTCCTTAATGGTGAGAATAAGTGGCGGGATAAATCACAACTTTTTTGTTCTCGATTGAAGTTTTTATCTGATTGCACTGCCATTGCCATTTCAGAAGAGAGGAAATTAAATCACAGAAAATTTACAACTGTTCTAGCAAAGGCAAAAGGTTTACATTGATGGCAGTGTCCTGCTTTTTAGAAATGCCAAGCATCTCTTGCTTGCATGGATTTCTCTCCAGGAATAGTGGTAGAGAAAAATCAAGGCGCTTGTAATGACATGGATTTATTGGGCAGTAGATAAGGAGCAGATTAGAGGGCATGCTATGTCCCTAGCGCCTGCATATGAATCAAAAGCTTTTCCAAAGCCTTGCTATTGATTTCCTGAGGAATGTGCCTTTGTCCTCCCATGCCCCAGCGCCTCTCCTTGTAAAACTGACTTTCAGCGATCTCCGTGCTCCTAAACCTCTCAGATTCTGTGCATGTTTCTCCCTTTTGGATCTGCCACCGAGGCATCCCCACCAGAAAGCTTTCCCTAGGGGCCGGTTATAAACACTTGGGTGGTTTGTAATGTGTGGCTTTCCCAAGGCCACGGGGCTCTTTGGTGGCAGYCGTAGGACAGCGCCCGCGCTGCCTGGGGCTAATGTCTCGCATAGCACCTGGACATCCATCCCCGCTGCCGGCACCGCTGCGCGCACCTTCAGCCCTCTCCATCCAGTTTTACCTGTTCTCTTTGACACCCCTAAATGCCTGTTACTGTTTCCCTGCCCTGAGCYGCTTCCTGGCATGCCTGGCGTGAAGCTGGACGTGACTGCTGGCTGTGCCAGGCGTGCGGGGAGAGCAGGCAGGTCGGGCGGCCAGAGAGCACAGACGTCCCCAAGGTGCCTCTGTCTCTCATGTGAGACAGACCTGACAGCTTCCTGAATTTAATACTTGCAGATAAGTAGGAACCAGGTGCAATTCTGTGATTTTTCCGGTGCTTTGCTTGCTTTTTGTCCAGAACCAGATCCCAGGGAAGGAAGCTGGAAAATATGTAATAGCTGCAGTGAAACAATTACATGGATGATGGATCTGGATCCTGGGCCCCGACTTTTTGTGTTTGTGTTTAAAACAATTAGTTTTTTGTGGGTAGTGAGGGTGTCTGCCAGCAGATCAAGGTGCAGGGAGTACTCAGCAGCGAGCTGATAAGGTCTGAAAGGGTCTCTTTGAGCCTCCTGGAATTAGCTGCCTTCTTAGCTCCAGTCTTYGACAAATAAAATCAAATCATTAACTCGTGCTCACCTCTCCGAAGGGGAAATGGTGTCTGGGTGAAACACAATGCGAGCAGGCTTCTGAAGGAAGCCATAAACCCTGATCCACCCTTCCCTGTGAAGGCTGGAGAGAAAGCAGCTCTGTTTGCCAGGTGTGCATGGATCGCTGCAGAAGTGGTGAGACGCCGGCACGGGGTTGCTGATTCCGCCTGTGCTTTCCGAGCTGCTGTGCCGAGTTATTACAAGCTTTGCTGAACTCACCGTTGATAAAAGCTCCTTTGATTTACATAAAAGAAACCTGATTATATATTTGCTGTAACGTAGGTGGGTGTGTCTAAGTGGTGACATGAAAGAGCAGGAGACGGGGGGGAGAAAAGATGCTGTCTGGATACAAACACTGCATGTGTTCAGCTCAAATTGAGAAAATTTAGTTGCCAAAGAGGGGGAATCCGGGTGGCTTTTTGCTGAGCAGATGTTGATAGGGCAGGACAGGACTAGGGCACGTGCCTCATTCCTCATCCTCTCTCTGCTCCAAAGCAGAGAAGAAGAAAGGGAGATCGGCCACCTTCTACCCTCAGGAGATCACCCCGTCCCGGCTTCCCGTGGATGAGACACAAGCGCCAGCGTTCAACGGCAGCATGGAGCCTGTGGGCGTCAGCACGGAGATGGCACTGCTCAGCAACATCCTCGCCGCCTACTCCTTCATCACAGGTAGGTCTGGTGGCTTGCAGGCTCTCTGGGCTCTCACAAGCTCTGTAGACCCTCCGTTGGGTCCACACTTCAGCCTCACCTAGGGCTACATTTGCGCCCCCGGGAACTGTTTATATTTTTTTCATTTGTCTCTCAGCAGCCTCTCCCTTGAAAGACCTGAGYGGAGCAGCTCTAGTCAGTAGTATATAGCAGGGTTTACTGTGCGCTGCTTTTCCTTGTACTTGTTCTTGTATAAAGTTAAATAGAGGGTAATCTTACATGTGGTATTATTCCTAGTGCTCCTTTTTCCTGGAGATCAAAGGCTGGCTCATTAAGGAGGCAAGCTTGTTGTCCTGTAATTTGGAAAATGAGCAGCATTACTGTCTTTAAGAGAACTTGGCTTATCTTCAGTAGAAGTGTGAAGATRAAGTAACTGGAGAGTCTGCTTAATTGTATATTTAAATCTATTTTGGAGTAAGATTTCCTGGGATCACAGTTTATCTTTCACCCACGTGTGTCTTTCAAGTAGCAGAAGTAGCAGAAGAGCTGTCTTCTATTCAAATTTGCTTTAAAAAGTTGCTTATGACATACAGATTATGGCCCTTACTCAGTGCTTGGGGTCAATGTCACTGGTAGCAAAAAGCCCAGCAGAGACAGATGATGCAGTGCCATGACTTCCCATCCTGCAACTGATTTAGGGACCTTGTCACCAGTATGGATTGCCTATAGAGCTGGAAGAGCCTACCCTAAGGAAAGAGGAATGCAGGCTGAGTAGCAGCAGCTGTACTAATTCAACATATTTAGGCTAATCTCTGCTGCTTAACTGAGAAGGAGGGTTCTACTTTCTCAGTAACTACTCTCCAAAGGCAAGACATGCTGTTTGTAGTCACTTTTTTGTGGAAATGAAAGCTGTTCTTCATTTGTTTAATGAAATATTTGCATGCACCTTTCTAGTAATATTAATCTTGTTCTCTTCCACTACCTGCTCCAAATAATTCTGTGCACTGTGGTAAGTCTGCTAGCACCATGCTAATTAAATTAGGAGATTCTGTTGCATTGGGGTCAATATAASTAAAACTCCTGTACTTGTGAGCTGCAGTGTCATTTGGTTTGCTTGTTCATTAAATACGATTAATTTTTGATGTCAGGCACATGCACTTGATCAGATCACTGCCATGGTACTACAGACAAGCATTTAGATTTGAAACCACTCACTGCATTTTGGCAGTGGTTAGTAGTTAGAAAGAACATTCCAAAATGTTTAGAGGAGGTTCTTTCTAAAAAAAAAAAAATGCTATAATGGTGAACCCAAGGTTCCCACACATGTCTAATGATGGCCTGAGGACCTGTTTTTTCATGTCACCTTCCAGAAGCAGATAGCTTTAATGGCAGCAATAATGCTCTTCACAAATGATGGCTGAATAGCATACATTTTTGATGTGAGGGCTTCTGGAAAAACAAACTTTGAATCAATCTTCTGTCATATTTTCCCCTCTCTTACCTGTAACTTACTATGAAATAAAATGCTGTTAACATTATTTTCCCCATAACAGTAATAGGTAACAGAAACTTGCAGGAGAAAGTTGTAGGAGCAGTTGGGGCCGATATTCAGGGCTGCTGACTGTGCCCCACGGACTTTGCTTCTGTCTACCACAGCAGCACTCTTTGACCCTTTTCTTGTTTGGTAGGGCACAAAGGCCTCAATTCATCCCCTTTACAAGGTGTCAGTCTTGGCAGGAGACTCTATATTTTACTGCAACACAAATAATAAATAATGACAGCTTTAACTGTCCTGTTGGTGTGGGATTTGCTTGTCCTTTCACAGTGTGGTCTCCCAGTGGTGTGTTGAGATCTTCTGGATGTCAAATAGGTAAAACTCAGATATCACAACCTTAATATCCAGTGATTAGTTCAGAAGGTTGTTGTTAATATTTTCCAGTGGACTTGACCATGACTTTTAGATGAATTTTACGTTCAATGACATATATGTTACATTTGATTCTTATTACAAAAAAAAAAAAAAAATGGCTGCCTCAGGGATTGAAAGAACAGATGCCCTAAAACATCTTTATCTGCTATGTGTAATTTAGCCTTCAGCTTTTAATGGAGAGGATGGATTTGGCATGGTTTATTCTGTTATATGTGAATGTGAAGTGGGTTCAGATGATGTGTTCAAAGACAAGCTGTGTCACAGGGCACAAATATCATCTGCAGAAAACTAGAGCACTGCAAAGCTCTCGCCCATCCTCCTACAGATTTTGAGCAACCAARCACTCGGAAATTTTTGYGCTTGTCTGAATTTGGGGCCCTGAAGGCAGCTTAAGCCACAGCAGCTGCTCATGTCCACAGTGAAGCTGTTCTGGTGACTCAAGAGAGTCAGGGCTTAGGACGACCTGGGAGGGCCAGTTCACACATCTTCCCACTGCTCCTGGCCACAGCCTCTGTGCCAAAGGGAAACATCAGTGCAAGGGCTCCTCTTGTCTCATGGCACCAAAAAGTCCCTGTAGTAAAAGCTGGATACTGAAACCACTGTATTCAGGATTTCCCTGTGCGGAGGAGTTGGCTCAAAACAGCAGTTTTCAAGAGAAAATTGTAAGCAGGCAAAGGCAATATATAAAGATGTATTTTTCTATGTGGACAGCGGATAGCGTGRATGCCCTCAGACCCACTCCAGGAAAAGGAAGTTACAGGGGCTTGGAATTTCATGGGTCAAGAACGCCCTTGAAATGATGACCACTCTCCTCCTTTTTCTGCCCCAGCCTGTGGGATGTCTCTTAGTCTATGGAGAACACCCAGAAATCAATAATCTCTTTCATTCTTGTAAGCATTTACTGTTCAAGAGGTTTGGGTGGGCAGCAGAAGGTGAAGAGCATGCAGGCATTTACCCCTTGCACTGCTGGCACACGGAGGGGCTTGCAGCACAGAGTGGAGAAGTAGCTGAATTAGAGAGAGACTCTGTGCTTGTTTCCATCATCTTTTTGGCTGAAATCCCCATATAAAAGTTGGGAATGTTTCTGTTGACAACCAAGGAATGAAAAATCACAGCCCAACAGGAAGCAAAGCCTCTTTGTAAAAGTGTAGATTTTCACCAGCAAATTTGTTAGCAGCTGATGTTATAGTTAGGAGTATCAAAACCAGTTAGTTGTTGGTCTTTTCACAGCTTCCAGAACCTTGAAAACAATATTTATTCAGAAATAATAAAAAGAATGAGAAATAATAATTAAAAAAAGGTCAGTGGGGAATGAATTTATCAGGTGAGGGGATGAAACAGAGAAGTCTGAGGTAGGGCTCTGTCCTGCAAGGGACTCAGGATGCCCTGAATTTGAAAGTTATTGTCCTTATAGAATTAAGTTTTTAACTATTTGCAATCTTTGCTTGTAAACTTCAGATCTGTTTTTTAGCTAAGGACCTGCTCCAAAGCCCATCTAATGGTTTGGGAAAACTTTGCTGATCTCGATCAACAGTCACAATGTACCAGCAAAAACAAAACTGTGCCTTGTGTTTGTATCAGTACTAAGCAGCTAAGTCTAAGCAGAGCATTTCTAATGCCTTCCTTTGGACAGAGGGACTTACTCCAGTTTTGTTATTGCATGCATGCTAAAAGAGTAGGAAGAAAATCTCCATGAATCTCTGTTCTCCCAAAATCAAAGCTAAGCTGCCAAGCTATTAGCAAGGGGTCTCCAAAGCACAACCCAGGGGGACCTCATTCCAGTTTTCAGACTGCTTGGTCTGAGCCTTATTAATAAGGGGCTCCTGGAGAGTTTCCTCTATTCTSCCAGGGGATTTCAGCAGCCTCTGGGGCTAAGTGTAAATTCCCTAGAAAAGATTGTTCCTACTGTTTGTCTGGCCGTGCTTAATGCTGAGTATTTTACTGAGGCCCTCTGAAATTCCCCTCCCCACTGAGGTTTCTGAATGTATGAAGCCATCACAGGAAGCTAGCCTCATTAATGCTTAGATTGGTTTTTATTTATTGAAACAATTTATTATAATAGTAATAACAACCCTGGCCTGGGGCATTTCCTGGGGAATTAATGGCGGTCTGGGCTGATGCTCCCAGCAGATTGTTAGCCCTCAGGAAACAGGCACCATAATTGCTGCTGGTTTGGTTGGAAAAACAAAATAAAATGTGTTTCTAATTTTTGGGCAGTTTGAATGCCTAGAAAGTGGTGGCCTTTGTATAAAAGGTTGTAAAAAGCATATATCTTTTGTGTGCATGGATTAAATGCAGACTTGAATCAGTGACATTTTCATTAGTGATCTTGGTCCAGAAAGAGAAATACCAAGAAAGGGAAATGTAACCTCTGCTAAAGGGATAGACAGCAGCTTGATTCTGCTAGTTTAGGGGGGATAACATAGCTCAGAGTTTAGGGGGATAACATAGCTCAGAGTTGTCATCCACAGCAGTGGGGGAAGAAAATAAGCTGTACTAAAAAATCTTTATGTTAAATGGTGCAATAGTGTGCACACATGCATGCATATCAAAATTATGTTAACTCCTTCAACTGATACACATACCCCTTTAAAGAGTATTTCCCAATGAAACAAGTGTTTTGAGGCGCTTCAGTGTCTGAAACCCCATCAAGTTTTTGGAAGATGCTGAGCATTGTTTTCTAAAAAGAAGGCCTCTCTTTGGGTCTTTACAAGTAGGAGATGTGGTGGGAGAGTCTCTCAAACCACTAATCAGGTGTCAAAATCCCAAATCCAGGTTATTGCTGACTTGATTACTTCAAGTGAGAAAAAACAGAGCCACTGATTTTTAGCTTAAGTTGCTCTTTTGGCTGTGCAGAGAGATGTTGCTTTGCAAGTAGATTGTATGTATGATAAATGCCAAGAGTGCAGTTGAACGTAGGGTTACAGCTCAGAGAAGAAGTCCAGGCAGTGTCTCAGATGTTGACGGAGTAGCTGTAGGAGCTCATAAATGCCAGTAGAGCCCAAAGATTCAATTACAACCATTTCACTGAGCAAAGGACTATGGATACAGGCACAAGCTGGGTATGAAAAATGCTTGCTTAACTAGCAATTGAGCTGCAGCTTGCTTAGGAGCAGCATACAGTGGCAGGGAAAAAGGGAATGTGGAGGACAGGAGAAAAGGGAGACATGGGCAAAAATGGGGGGAAGAGAAACCACATGTGCCTGTGTCTCAGACTCCAGTTTCTTTTTTAAGAAAATAAAAGATTCTTTTTTTTTTTTTTATGAGTTATTTTAAAAGAGTGAGGAGTGGAACTAACGCAAGCAAATCAAGCCCATGTGTGTGCAGGAATGTGGTGCGCAGGAAAGTGCCTGGCATCTCAGTCAGGCAGAGAGGAGACACCCTGCACCGAGTGCCTTCACTGGCAAATAGACTAGTCCTGTTCATTTGTTCTTCCCATTTTGGGTGTCCTTGCAGCCTTTCTTGTACCAAAATGTAAAGAAAGCTCTGCAATTAGTGCCCTGGTTTATATTGTACCTAGGGGTAGAAACAGTATCAGGGATGCTTCCAGTTTTCCTGGAGTTTCTGTATCTCTGGAATTGAGATCACTACTGTTTGAATAGGACCAAATACAGTGTCTTTGTTAAGGCACAGGCCAGGCTGCATCTTCCATTAAAGTTCAATGTCTTGCATGAAGCATTGCCCTTCATTTCACTAGATCCTGGATTTCACTCATCCAGACTTTTGCAAGAGCTCTTGGCACATSCATCACAACCATCCTCATTCCTTCTCTTCTCCTGTACCTCTGGCTATTTGCTGGCTCTTTCTTGTCAAAATATTGTTGCTTAAAGCCCTTCACCGTAGCCTCACTTCCCTTTCCAGATACTGCTTCATTTCTCTTCTCTTTTTTTTTAGGGACCTGTTGAACATATCAGCTGCAGTTCTCTCCTCCCTCTTTGTTGTAGTCCCTCTTTAGGCTTTTGGGTTTTTTTTGCCTTGTGCCCTCTGATCTTACTCTGAACTTAAGTTATAGTATCATGTTTCCTTAACCAGATTCGAGACTAGCTCAGCATCTCCCTTGCCTTTGGCCTGTCAGTCACCTTTCAGATCCCTTTGGATAGAGAGAATGTGCAGAGCAAAAAGGAAGTGCCTGTAATTCTGCCACAAGCATCTCCAGGCAGTGACCCCCATGGAGCCTTGAACCGTGCACACAGATCAGTGTTTTGTTTATGACCACAGAATTGTAGAATAAATTRTGCTTGAAGGGACCTCTGAGGTCACCTGGTCCCACTCTCAATCAGAACAGGACTGACTTCAATTTTAGAGCCAACTTTAAAGGTAGGTTGMTTAATGTCATATCCCGTTGAGTTTTGAATATACTCAGATAGTTCCCAGTTCATCTTCTGCAAACTTCCCTTTAAGGATACCAGCCAGAGGAAGCAAGTTCTAAAAACAGAGCAGAGAAAGTAAGAGTGGAGTTGTTTAGTCACATGGATCTTTCTCAGCTTGTTCTCAGTTGGTGGGGACTCTTATGCGACCATCACTGAGCTCAAGGGTGCTGGACACATCTGAGGAACCAGCCCCAACCTTGATTTCCTTTTAGGACTTCCACCAGACACAGTGGAGTACGGAGAGCCTTGGCACTTCTGCTTGATTCATGTTCTCCCTTTCGTTTTAACTATAACCATGGAATGTTCTGAGATGTTTCAGCCCAGGGAAATTGTTTATCATAATTACGCTTCTGAGAAGTCCAATGAACCAAAAAAGAAGAATAGTAAATAAACAAGATGACCTAGTTTAAAAGGAATTGTGGATCCTTTGGAGTCTTGTTATATCACCTCTGAAATGTTGTTTTGCAGGATCCATCCTGTTAGTGTACTGACTCCAGCTATGCTTGCGTAGCGGAGATATACATTTTGGTGGTCTGGGCAGAAAGCCAGCACACTTGCCTTAGATAAGCAAATCAAACCTATGAATAAATAATATGCAATTTTCCATGCTGCAAGGCTTGCTGTTTCGCTTGGTGACAGCTCAGGGAATGCATAAAGCTTTGTAATCATCCTCACTCCTCATACGATGATAATGGATGTGGCAGAAAGGTGCACTTAGCTGTTGCTGAGTGTACAGCATCCTCATCTCAGTCCTGCTCGCACCACCACTGAAATCAGCATTTAATTCTGTGGGCTGCACCTTTCCATTCTAGACAACCCTAAGACATAACTGCTGCTAGTCCATATTCTGCGTGAGGGTAGAGGACTTGGCAGCAAATCCACTCTCTAAATTCCCCTTCCTGATTCCCCCAGGGAGAGCAATGGAAGGCTTGGAAGCAAAAGAAACTATTAGAAACTCTCCAGAGGGCATTGCAGGTACTTGCACGGGGAACCTGCATGTGCTTTGAAGGATTTTTGTCTTTGATAACCGTTTTTCTTTCCCCTTCCAGAGAACCCGGAGCGCGCTGCTCTGTATTTCGTGTCTGGCGTGTGCATTGGACTCGTGCTGACGCTGCTCGCCCTGGTGCTCAGGGTGTCCTGCCGAACGGACTGCAAGCGCTCGCCCGCCAAGAAGCCCCCGCGGGAGCGGGAGAGCGACAGCGACAGCAGCGACAGCGACGACGACTCGGACACCACGTCGGACCTGTCGGCCCGCAGGCACCGCAGGTTCGAGAGGACTTTGAACATGAACGTCTTCACGTCGGCCGAGGAGCTGGAGCGAGCGCAGCGGCTGGAGGAGCGCGAGCGCATCATCCGGGAGATCTGGATGAACGGCCAGCCGGACATCCCCGGCACCAGGAGCCTCAACCGCTACTACTAAGCGATGGGGACCCCCAACCGTCCAGTTCTGCGCCCTGGGTCCTCCACACGCGATACAGAGAGGACGGARGAGAGGAGTATTGCGTGGGAGTATTCCCTTTTCCCTTCAGGAGCGCTGCGTGGTGCAGCRCGGATGGACAGCAATAAAGCATCCCCCTCTCCTTTTCCCTGACATTGCTATCAACGCTCCTCCCCTGATGCTCCTCTTCATGGAGACTCTCTGGTTGCAGCAGAGCTGGTCGTCAACTTCGTTTCTTGGTGGTAGGCAGGAAGATGGCTTTTACGTCCTCCCACATGGGGCTTTGAGTCTGGCGTGCTGCGGTACGATTGCTCCTCTCGTGGATGGGGAGAGAAGTCATCCAGGTTTTGATTCTGATTTGGGATTTTTTGGTTTCCCTTTCCTGAGGATTTTGGGGTAATTGTGAGCAAAACTTCAGGTCTGGAAAAYGAGTTGGCAAGGGAGGGGAAATGCATCCTGACCAACTGTCTTGTGACTTCAGAAGCCATGAGATTAACCTAATTAAAACCCAACAGCAAATATGACTTGTTAAAAAATGGAGGACTTGTTAAGAACTAGGCTGGGGAGGGASGGAAGCGGGAGAGGGGATTCTTCCATCGTGAAATCATCTCGGTGCTTGGATGTTTGCCATAGTGTATACAGTTATTTATGGCTGTCTTTTCATCTTCCTTTTCAATGGGAACATTTTTTTTTACTGACACCTCAGGGATAAAATCTCTCTCTCTCTCTTTTTTTTTTTTTTTTTTTTTTTTTTTTTGTGAGTCTGTTCTCCCCGCTGGCCCCTGTCAAACAACCCACTTCCAACAGTGAAATTATGGTAATATGAGATGTGTCAGTGATTGGTGAAATGTTAACAACCTCAAAGAGGTTGAAAAGGGTTTTCTTTTTGTTTATTTTGTTTTAAATATATATATATATATATTTGAAGATGCTGCACAGGAATGTGCCTTATTCTTTTGTTGTTAAACTACAGTTTTCCTATAAATAGCAATGCACAATGTTTTATATATTTTATTAAAAAATAACTAAAAAAGGTTTACGTTTGCCAGAGGAAAGTGGAGAGAGAAGAAGATGCATATGACAGCGGAGTGGGAAATAAATGCTAAATAAACTCTGGTTTGCTTCTACACAGTTGAATTTGCATCCTCACTTTTGGCATAGRTGTTGCTTGAGGGAAATGCTTTGGAGCAGTGATGCACCTCTGCAGGCAGTCAGGGCTGACATCCTCTCCATGCAGGAGCCTGGAGGCACTTTTTCCTCTGGCCTCAACCCATCGTTCTACTACTGTGGTGCACATGGGCAGGAGCAGCTGAGGAGTGAAGTGGTTCTCAAAGGGACATCCCAAAGCCAATAAGGAGGAGTGCCCCAGGGATTTCAGGAGACTTTGGGTCTGCCTGTCACAGGTCCTAGTAGGACAAGAAGTAAAGGAGCCAAAATAGCACTTGGAGGAAAAGGTAAAACATATTCTAGTGCTCCTCCAGCTGCCCTGTGGAGTGTGTCAGGCGAGCTGCTGAAGTTGTGATGTGGCTAGCATGCACAGGGGAAGAACATGGATTGTGGAGGGACAGCATGGGCCCAGCCTTCCTGGTGTGCTTCGCATTGGCTGTGGGGCTGTAGCCTCCCTGAAATTCTCCAGTCAAGAAAGGTTGCATTTGAAGATCTTCTCTACACTTGCAGAGTGGGAGCAAAACTGAGCAAAAAAAACCCCAAAATGCTGATAAAGTCAAAAATTAGACCAGGCAAAGAGAGGTGGTCCATCTAGGAAGGCCATACTAACAGTGYAGAGCAGTTCCTCTTCCTCAGCCACTGCAGCCTCAAGTGCAAAGATTGAATATTGACCTGAGATAGATTTTATGGCTGATATTTAGTAATAAAGCAGAGGCAGATGCTGAATCCCAGAGGTGCCACCAGGTGCTGGGCTTTAGCAGGAATGTGGAATATGCTGTGCAGAGGRTGTAAAGGAGCCAAGTGACAGGATGAGATCAGTGGGATCCATTTTGTTAGCCATGTGTTTTCCCCTATAACAAGATACTTCCCTTGACCTTGGTCATTAAGGAACAGCAAATTTGTAGCTCTGGAGTGCTGTGTCCTCAGAGATATATTACAAAACTAATTTAAAATGAATTAATTTATGTATGATTTTCCCAAATGAATATTTTCCACCACAGGAAAGAACAAGTGCGTGAGTCTGAGCATGCTTCATGTGCAACCAAGGGATTGAAATACCTGCTTCGAATGTAAATCACAGCTGAGCCCGCATCACAAGCTGATGGTCAGTCCTCCCTTAACATTGCTAGCGTGGCTGTAAATCTCCCCACGGAAGCTTGCAAGAGAAAGGAGCAGGTTGTGCACGTCTCTTTTCAAAGCTAAGCAGACAAGTCCAGCTCAGCCTTGCCCTAGGTTACAGGGTGCAATAGGAGTACTCAGCTTTCACAGCGCATACTGYACTTTTATGTATAATCTAGCTGCTTTTGTCTTAGGGCCATGTGTTTCTAAAAGACTTTCACTAAAGAAAAAGGAAAAATACAATCCTTTGAGTTACCRTAAGTGAAAGACTTGAAGTCATTCTGTAACTATTTCTGGATTAGTCCCAAAACTGCTGAATAGTTTTTGCGGAGGGAAACAGTCAAGATTCACAGGGCAAGAATTAATGCTTTGCCTTTAACTGTAAACCAAGAAATCTAAAACACTCATCCAGAATACAGAGGAGTCAACTGCATGGTGTGGTGTGGTCAAATCTGTATTTCTTAGTCTGTAGAAAAGTAGCTTAAGTGCACAGAGCTTTAGATTTGGTTGTTCTCMATCTTCTGTGTTGCACTATCTCACACATAGCATTTAAACTCTGTCATAGCTGGAGATAAGAGAATGGAGAACATTTCTCTACCAGGCTGCTGTGWATCCCTCTAGTATGAGAGTATGCCTAGCGCTGCTCTCTGCTTCCCTGTTTATTTAATTTTATACATCAAAGATGAATATTKTCATCAGGATAACACTTGCCAAACTCCCCAACACAGAGAGGAGCTGAAAGCAACCTTTCCTATTTTGTGAATTGATTTCCCAATCACTGATCTTTTGGATAAGATGTTCTTTTTCCTGTGAGGAGTCTAGTTTTTGTGCCTTGGTTTACCTTTATAAAATGGGGATAAGAGAATAATCCTGGTTTCTGAGTTGCTTAGTAATAAGGGGAATTATGTGGTATTGTGTTTAAAAGAGGTGACCCTRTATTTACCAGAGCACACACTATTGTCGACTGCAGACCTGTGTCAGATGCGACACACTTTGGCACTTTCAACCTTCTGCAGGTACAGGACACTCTGATCAATAACAACGGAGTCATTCCATTATAGATCCATCACTTGTACCATGCTAGTTTTGTAAATGGGTTTGTAAATGGGTGCTCTCCTGCTACTGGGAGCACCAAAACACCTAGAAATGATGAGTTTGACTGTTGAAGTGTCAACAAATGTCCATTACCTCCCTGCAGCAGATTTCACTGGTTACCAAATATAGCAGAAGAGACCCCAGAAAGGTAGGTGCTTCCACAAGATACCCACTGTGCTAACTCGCTTCCCATTGCCCTTGACTTCTCTGGGCCATTTTCACCTCCCTCTATCACCCAGTCTGTCACYACTGACCTCTGATGTGGACCTGTGTTCAGCGGACCCTGAAAATCTCGGTAATGCGGCGTTTTCTGACTTTCCCATGTCCACCCTGGTGTTCATATCCTCAAAGGATTCCGGCGAGTTAATGAGCCATGCTTTTCTCTTCCAGAAACCACGATGCTGCCGCTTAACCCCCTGCCTGCCGTCCTGCTCGGCGCCCAGGGGCTGCACAAATGAAGCGAGTTGGCTTGGTCATTGCACTGCCAGAATGTAAAGCATCTGCTCCGGGTGCCATGGGAATCTGTGTTTCCTCTTTTGCTGCATGGATTCTCTTCAGTTTCTAGAGGCGTCACAAGCAATTAATCATCTTAGACTGGCCCAGAAATCCTTCTGCTCACAGTCATTGCTGAGGTCTCCATCATAGTAGAATTTTAATAATCTGGTCTGAGCTTCTAGTGTCCTTAGGGGAAAAAAATAGTGATTTCAAGGTATTACTTGCTTTTCTCTTTGGATCTTAGTTGTGATTTTCTCAAGGACTATCACAATTAAGTGTTATCCAAAAAAAAAAGGCAATAATAGCTTTGATTCACTGCACTACAGGTCATCCTTATGCTGCTATAAAAGTGCCTTTGCTGCACTGTGGTCTTAAAGATGCTCCGAGTGAATATAGTAGATTGGTGTCATTTAACCAAAACAGCGCATTTGAGGGCTTCAGATCACCCATTTGATGACTGGATCCATTCCAGCAACAGCAGCGTAATAGTTTTGAATTGGAGCACTGCATCAGTTTGGGGAAGAGGCACTCATGCTGCCAGGACYGTTCTCACCAAGCTACCTTTTTTGGTGCCACATCTCCAGAAGGACCACAGGGATGGAGCTGTGCTTTGCTCCAGAGGCAATCTCATGTAGTACAGAGACTGTGCTCGTGACCATGAGCATGACCAGGCACTCGTGATCGCCACCACTGTTATTACAACCAGTTAAAAGCTGCAAGGATTGCTGGACTGAGATTTTAGGACTAATCTAACTTCTCAGGACTAATCTAACTTTTCAGCCCTGGAGAAAGCACTGATTTTGGTTCTGGGAAAATATCTGTGTTAAGTTGCCCATTTACATGCATGCGTCACCATCAGCTTCATAGCCCACAGAGCTAGTCAAGATTCTCAGCACCAGCAGTTTCTGGATAAAGGGCAACTTGAACCCACACAGCCGCTAATCAGAGACCAATGGAGAGAATAAGCCCTCCTAGCACTGAGACCACTCTCCACAAAGGTCTTGTGGCTCAATGAGAAGAGCACAGACATTTCTCCTTGCACATCTTGCTTGGTCAAATGCCTCCSATGCCTAAAAGAGCAACTCAGTGCTAGAGTTGTGTGCTTGCAAAATCATTTGCTTCCCAAACCACACAGAGCTGCTAGCATGAACCAGAAAATATTTCTAAGTATGCTCTTATTTTAAAAGTTTAGCATAGTTCAACCCAAGAAAATCTATCATTTGATTTTTATGTTTAATTTTGCCAGCTTTCCCTCTTTCCCTGTCATCCAAACGGTATAAATAATGAATTGATGAAATTAAAAACTAACCCCCCTTCCCAAGACCTAAGCAAAACCAAACACTTTTCATTTTTTCCCATTTCACAATGAATTCTTCTAAACTGAATTGCATTGCAGAATCATTCAACTGCAGAAAATTCTTTTTTTTTTTTTATAAGTTAACAAAAAAAGCAAGCTCTCTAAAAAAATCCTGTGCCTTCTAGTCTGCTCTAGGCAAACATCTAATGAATGGAAGAGGCTCAATATTCTGCTAATGGTCAATCCCCAGCAGTGTCATCATTCTTTGGTAGCATTTTTATTTGATATGGACCAATCCCTCCTATGCTGCTCCCTTGCTGA